CAACCCAAAACCCACTTATGTATCGTCGGGTGCTGGGTGGGCATGGCCCATTGGGTGGGTATGGCCCACTGGGTGGGCATAGCTGCAGTGGTAACAGCAGACTGGGTGGGACTAAAAAGTTCAATCAATCAATTCCAACTTTGCAAGATCTTTTTTTTTCCCGCGAGAAGTTTAAATTGACTGATTGATTGAACCTTTTTTTTTTTGCACACGGTGGCGGAGGCCTAAAGCAAAAAGGTTTTATAAAACCCAGCTGAAGGCCTAGGACTGGGGCGACGGCACGCGTTCCCACAGAGAGGGCTCTGAGTGCCGCCTCTGGCACCCGTGCCATAGGTTCGCCACCACTGAGCTAGGACTTCATTAGGAAATGTCAATCTCTATACACGTTAACATAGGGAGAGAATCATCTGATGGGATCACATAAATCGTAGGAAAACGATTTTCAGATACTTTCAACTTGGGCTTCACCTTCAGGCGAGGAAAGTGGCAATGAATTGTTGATATTCTTTTCTGAAACGTTATTTTTGCGCGGTAATCGCGGTTCTGTAATAAATCGGCTCTTTTCAAACTGGTATGGTTTAAAAGCGCTCCATTCGTCCCTAAATAGCCAAGTAAATGAAGGGAATCACCCCTCACAAGGAGGGGTTCGGCTTGTTGACTCGAGCCGTCGTCTCCCGATTCCAACAAAGCACTCCTGCTGAACTAAAAAAAAAATAAGCCACACGAAGGCACAGAGCTCTGGAGTGGAAACACCTCCAGGATTTCTTCTGCAGGAAGAAAAAGGGGAGTGATTTTTCCCCCCACTCCCTCCTGCCTTACCCAGAGAAGTCTTCTTCCTCCTCCTCCTCCTCCTCCTCCTTTAAGTCTTCCCCGAAGAAGCCACTTCCTACTCTACCGCAAAAACGGCGACAGACCCAAAACGCTTCTCTTCCCTCTCGTTGTGTAAACTGCAGAGCGAGGCCATGCGCACTCGGGCGGGCGCAAAAAAAAGGAAAAAAAAAAGCAAGCCGCGCCGTCACGTGCCCTCAGACCCTTTGCCGCCCCCTCGCTTTGAAAGAGCGTGACGTCGCCTCCCGCCCTTCCCTCACTCGCTCGGCCGAGGTTTGGACTCCCCTCCAGCCTCGCGTCGCCGGGCGGGAGGCTCGTGCTCGCTCGCTCGCCCGGCCGCCCCGCCCTCTTGGCCCGGACCTCGCGCTGGTGGCAGCGGCGGCTCCTCTCGGCTTCCCGTCTCGAGCCGGCTAGGGCGAGCCGGGGAGGTCGGCGCAGCTGCCGCCGCGTTTGCAAGGCTGGGCGCAGAGGCGGTAGGTAGCCTCGCTCTCGCCTCTCTCCCTCTCTTTACGCCTCGGGGAGGGGAGGGGAGGGCGGCCTGGGGCAGACCGTTGCTCGCTGCGGATGCCGTCGGGGTGGGGACGAAAGCGGTTCGCCCTTTAATCCCCCGCGCGAGGGCCATCCCGCCGGCAAGCAGCCCTGAGGTTTTCTGGAGGATTTCCCTTGCGCTCGTTGCATCTCTCTCCCCCCCCCCCCCAGTGCAGCCGAGCGCCCACCAGAGAGGTAACGGGAGGGGGAGGGAGAAGCGATCGCAGGAAAACCTCAGCCGTCTCCTGACTGTGACCGGGCGCAGGACAAAGAGGTTAGTTGTCCCGTTCCCGGGCCAGTTGTCGTTCATGCGCATAGCAACGCGGGTTTTGGGCAAAGGAGGGGTCACAACCTGCGGTGACTTTACCCCCCTCCTCCAAGTTGCAGAAGGAGGTAAAACAGCTGCTTCCCAAGCTGCCCTCTTGTTGGATGCTGCGGACCGGAGTCCGGGATCGGTCTTCTCGCGAGCAGGCTCCTTTTATGGTGCAAGAAGTGGAGCTTGTCCTGCCTGCTAAGTTCTGTGGAAAAAAACCTCGGTGGGGAATCTCGGGGGCGCGTCTGGCTTCGCAGCCGGGCTGCATCCCCACGGCCCGTGCAGAAAATAGGAATGTGCGCGGGCAGCCACCAGAAATATAAAAATCGGCGTGCCTTCTAAGGAAAGAAAAGTTATTTCGGTACCACTAAAGGAGAATCTTTATTTCAGCAGTTAGGAAGTGGGAGAAGAAAAACCCAGGTAGCAGGAATCTTGACTTTATGCAGTTTGAATCGGTGAATGCTGCAGGTTGCAAAACAAGAACGGCCCACCCTGGAAGAGAAAGTCATTAGGTTTTCTCGCGGACAGAGGGCAACTAAAGTCAAACACGGTCGTGTTTCTGTTACGTGGAGGTCAAAACGTGCAGTGGGAATGGTGGCGATGACCTTGGTTGAGTCTTTTATCAGCCAATGTTTAGTGAGGCTTTTAAGCACAGTGAGTAGAAGGGGCTGTGGGAAGAGGTTGGAAAAGGACGACTTAGGATTCTTCAACAACTTTGGAGTGTAGAGAGTCACACCCTTTTAAGTTTTGAGATAAATGCTGGAGGGTGGCCATTACATTATTAGGAGGACCTATTTTTAAATTTTGCTTTAATGAATACTGTCTGTGAAATTGTCTTGACTTCAAAAGGGGCAGAACTCTCAAAATGTCTTGGAAGATGTTAAAAGTTTTTTGTTGGGCTGTACATAATGCCTTTGGTGGATGCCTTTGTAGAACTGTAAGTGTGTCTTGGATTGAATGTAGATACTTCTGGTATTCAGAGCTAGTGCAGAGAGTCCTGCACCCCAGCAAGACAGGAAAAGGAAGTATGTGCCTTCATGCTGTCAGAAATGCAGACCAGAAAAGTGTAATAGGGTGTATTTCTTCCAGTAATTCTTAGTGGATAACCAGGAGTTAGTGACCTAAAATGTACACTAATTGCTGTCTCTATCCCCATCTCTTAATTGCAATGTTCAGAATGAAAAAAGTACAAAAAAAGTTGTCCTAAAGCTTATCAACTTTTTAAAAATACTGTTCAAAAATTCATGAAGATGAGCTTTAGATGGTACTTCTAACTGGAAGTAAGCTTTTAAAGTAAACAGAATGCGTTACATATTTAGACCCCATAAATGAAAAACTAATTCTAAATTTGCAAGTACATTCCAAATAACTCCAAAAACAGTGACAGAATATTTTTTTTAAAAAAAATATTTGGATGGTTTAAAGATTAAAGCACGCTGAAACTTCTGTTTCAAGCTTCTGTTTAAAAAGTTGGGGGACTTGAAACAGATTGGACAGTGACGGCAGATGGTGTAAGTTAAAAGTTCACAAGCTAAGGCAGCTTTTACAAATCAATGAATGAACTTGACACCTGTTGGAGATTGACAGGAGCTGTATCCAGTCAGCTATGCCTAGGCAGATTATGCACATCCTTGTCGTTAGCAGACCAGCGATTGGAGTTTCCTTTGAATGAAGAATTCAGCTTCCTGCATTTGCGGAAGATTTGGTAATGCCTCATTAGTCAGGGCACTAATGTAGGTTATTGATTTAAGGGAATTCTTTTATCTGCCAGCATGTCACTCTTGAGGGCATAGAGGACTACAAATGAAGTTAATTTTCTCTTTGCTGGAAAGAATATGTGTTCTGAATGTGTGAGTACGTGGCAGAAGTCTGTTTTTCAGTGTTAGTGTTTTCTATTTATAGCAGTTTCCTTAGAAACTGTTCATGTTGCTGTTAGAAATGGTTACACATATATTTCTAGTTGAAATACTATTACTGTATCTCATTGTTGGGTAGCTATATAATATTAGCCAGCTTACAGTGAACTTATTTTTTAAATGAAAATGTCCATGACTTGGTTTATTTTGAAAGCTTAGAATAATTATGCATTTTCAATGCTCAATCATTTTTATTAGGATTTTTAATAAATTTGGAAATAGATGTGGTAGGTGCATGTTGTATATTGCTAAATATGCAGTAGTTGTTGATATATAGGTTATCCCAAAAGCAAAACTTTTATTCGCTATCATGCTGGCTTGTGTATTGCTTGAATTTCTTGTGGGTATGAGTATACTGGAATGCTAGACTCCACTTTAAAATCTTTTGAATGTTTGTATGCTTAGATTTATGTGTTAACCATTCCAATGATGAAGATTATAATTACTGTACCTAATATAAAATGCTTGCATTTGCAGTTGTATAAAACATATTTTAGAATAGCTCAACAGATCTGTGCTATTGGCTAGCAACTATGTACAGTTGGTGGGTTTTTTTGAAAATTCTTCCTTGTTGTTTAACAGCCTTTGTTTTCATGGTTGCAATTTGTTTAATCTCCATGTTTTGGGTTATATGCAGTCCAGGTAGATAACCAAAAATACACAGATGAAGGTTAATAAAGGGATGAAATTTCATCCCTTTCAAACATAGATAAAATACACAATTTGAAATACATGCCACTAGTTGATAATGTGCCATTCTGTTTTTCCCATATTGTATTTATTGCAACCAACAATAATACAATTGATACTTTAAATTATTGCACTTGCTTTTGAGGTGCAGCTGTTTAAATAATTTAAATACAAAAATTCAGTCCTAATCTCTGAAGTAGTACACCTTTACATGCACGCACACACACACATTTAAATTATCATGAACCAATCTTGGTTTCTCTTACTGAAAACTAGGGGGAAATTTCAAAGGGTTCAGATACTACTTTTTCCTACTTTTATTTGTCAACGGTACTTTGAACTCCGTACTTTGTACTTGAAGAATATGTCCTCTATTAACTCTTCTATTGAAATTAGATGGAATTACACTACATAATTGTGTATATGTTAGCTTAAATTTTAACACTGATGCAGTGTTAAGTCATGATGACATGCAGTCTTTGTTGTGCTTTGGCAATCATGTTCTGTACACTTTCTCAAGGTGTGTATTTAAAACAATTACTAAATCGTATGTATTTATGGAGAAAAGATTTATTTGTCTTGTAAAATTTGCCGAACAGATTTTAAAGTCCAAATCTATTTTGCAACCTTAAACTGGGCTTTTTTAAGCAATGACCCATACTTTTCAAGTTTCATGTGTTGTTATTTGCTAAACTGATTTTTTTTTTTTGTATACAGGCAGCTGTGCAACTTCCTAACGTGTGATCTTGCTTGCTGGATTTGGGCAATATGGCAGGCATCCTGCGTACAGTTGTTACTAATTTCTCCGTACCCCTTTTCAACAATGTGATATGCCATAAGGTGAAGATTGCGAAGGTGCCAAGCTTGCGGACATTCCTTACCCACCAGGTTCTCTGGTGTAAAGCAGCTATCAAACCAGGTACGTCAACTAGTTCTCAGAATTTTAGTTTAATTCTTTCTGGGGTTAAAACATACGAAGGCCACTTCCAATATATTTTTCTGGCCTTCCAGCATCTTATCACACTAATAATATAAGAAAAAGAATCCAGGATTCAACTGTATTCTACAAGAATCATCGTTCCTTTAACGATAAGCAGCAGACTTTGGCTATGTTCTAATAGAGTTTCTGAAACTTGGTTCACTCATTGCACTAGAAGAGTAGGATGTGAAAGGCCTAGACATTTACACCCTAAAGAGAAAGACAACTTTTTTGTATTCCATCTGTAGAAGCCAACTACAGAAATGTCTTTAATATCACACCTTTATTATTTTTATAAATAACTCAAGGCAGCAAACATATCCATCACACCTTCCTCTTCCTCTTTTCCTCACAAGAACAACCCTGTGAGTTGGGTTAGACTGAGAGAGAATGGCTGACCCAAGATCACCCAATTGGCTTTTGTGGCTAAGATGGGACTTGAACTCAAATAATTGAATAATAGGCATTAGTAATCTGCAGGGCTCCTTCACCATATCTCAGTTCAGAAGGTTACTTTGGACCAAGGGTGGGCAATTTTCCCAAGGGGCCATGAGAAATTTGGACTGTTGTGGAGGACTGAACCAATAGGAGTGTGAAGGTTCATAGGCATGTACACATGCATATATGTGAATCAAAATAAGGGCAAAGCAGTTGTATTGTGTGTGTGATGTACATTTATTTATGTTTGATTTCTAATTTCTGATTCACCTTTTGCTGGCTGGACAGGACAGCCAAAGGGCCAGATATGGCCCCAGGGCTGTCAAGTTCCTAGGTCTGGCTTGGAGGATATAAGCTGGGTGTGTGCATATACTCTTTACAATTATAGTAGTGATGTACTTTCAGAGGAAAACAAAACACTGCATTTCAGAATTAGCATGTAGAACTTATTCAAGAGCCCTGTCCACATTAATGTATGTCTTTCAGAGGTTCTTTGTACTACATAAGCTCTTGTTCTTTGATTGTAACAACTGACACTTTGTTAACAAAGACAGTAGTTCTCCTTGAAAGTATGGAATTGTGCTTCAGAAATGTGTATGTGAATTAACTAATCTGTTAGCCAATTATCTAGAACAGTTCCTAGATGAATGGGTTGTTAGATAGTTACACAATACAGTCTTATTGCAAACTGGAGAAACGATAGACTGATAAGGCTATCTCCTGTATTACTGTAATGGGTATGTGTCCTTGCATGTTTTATAATTTAGTCTGCAGTGGCAGAATTTCTCAGAGCACATTTTTGCACTTATGTGTTTTAAAGTGATTTATATAGTTTGGCATGGGACCTACAAAAGCATTCATTCATTTTTCTACTGTTGTTTATTGCTTTCCCCAATGTAGTCCCAGATGTATTGCAACCATAGCTCTCATTGTTTGCTTGGGATTCAAAGAGAAATGGCACCATAGTTCTTGATTTATAATCATTCGTTTAGTGACTGTTGAAAGTTACAACAACAGTGGAAAAGAGATGCTGGACTTTGCATTTATGTAGCATCCTAAGGTTATGTGATTGCCATTTGTGATCTTCCCAGCTAGCTTCTAACAAGCAAAGTCAATGGGGGAAGACAGATTTGCTTAATGACTGCAAGATTCACGTAACCATGTCAAAAATCATAAAATTGGGCATGATTCACTTAACTGTCATGGTTCCGGACAGATGAAACTCTTCAAAAGAACTTTGAGGCATTGTTTACCTTAAAGAATCTTTTATTCGAGAAACAAAGTATCAGCACTACACAGTTGAAACCAGAAACTAAATTCCCCTCCCCTGGATACAAAGTAACAAAGTGCAATTCCCTCCTCCAATAAATAGTCATAAATCACATTCCCCAATTAGCTTGAAGTGCGGGCTTTCTCCCCAGCTCTCCAGCCCCCCAAAACACTATCAGCTCTGGACTCAATGTCATTGGGTTCCCACAACTAAGTTATTATGACTAACTGGACTCTCATCCCTATTCCTCCTCCCAGCAGCAACTAATTCTAAAAGCAATAGAGAAAATGGATGCATTTCCATCTGTTGTCAAAGCAAGAACATCCAATGTTAGCAGTGTTGACATTAACCATGTTGATTAGTAACAAATTCTGGTCCAGATTGTGGTCATATGTCAAGGATTACTTGAACAACTAACATGTAGCTTTAAGTTTTTCCCCATCTCTATTTCGCAATAGGAAGTATGACATTTTTGTTTATACTACAGTTCTGTAAGTACTCTTACCGTGTTTGAATAGTCTGTTAATGAAATAATATAGGGATATATTAATATATCCAGTCTGAATGCACATATGAAAAATTATAGGGATCACTGTTTTTATTATTGTGCTATTTTATGAGATAGTAAATGGGAAGGAATGGTGAAAGCTGTCTTGAATGTGGAGGATTGCCTCTCGGCTATGAAAACTTCATGCTGACTAAATTGCAAGCTGTCAACAAGTTTATTAAATCACTGATGCCTTAAGAGATTACATTTTTCCCCAATACAGAATATATTCAGTAATGTACTAAGAAATATTTCCTTGGCATTTTTAAAATAATAGGAACTCCATATGAAATATAACAAGAGCCTTACGGCTTCATACATTTTAGAAAATTACTCCATACTTGATTAATGTGACTACACCAGCCTGCTTTTAAAAATCCATTAAATTAAGTTATATAAGTGGAACAAAAAAATTACAGTCTCACCTATCAACATTTTTGAAGAATTTATGGGAGCTTTGCAAACTTTAATCTACAAAGTTAAAACATATTAGTGAATATTTTAGATCTTATTTGAGAAACGTGATTTTCTTGAACACTCAAGGTACTGTATGAAAGTGAAGTTTATGTAAATGAATGTACTTAATGTAACTGTATAACTTATTACTTGTCCGAATAGACTTCTAAGTACTGTAATACTGCATCTCACTGTCAGTTTTTGTCAAACCAGATATATATATTTGATTATTTTTGACAGTCCAGTATTGATGTTGGTTTCCAACTGGTGGCAAAGACTGATGATAAGTACCATCGTATTTTATGTATTTAAGTATTTATTAAATTTATATAATTTCCCTCACACTGAGGAGACTCTGGGCAGACTTTTGAAATAATATAATTATAATTCACTTTTTAAGGAAGCCAGAGGTTAACTAAGGAATTTTGGACGTTGTGTGGATTTGGGCTGGGTAACTTTCTATG